TTGTGCGGTCCAACGAAGTGAAGTGGTGGCCATAGCCGCCGAGCTCGGACACAGAGTTGACGAAGGGAGGAGCTGAAGTGAGAGGAGGGAGAGACCGAGAAGAGTGAGGAAACCATAGCCGAGGAAGGTGAAGGGAGAGACGAACAAAAAAAAAAAAAAAAGAGAAAGAAAGAAGATAGCCAGGGTGGAAGATAGAGGCGAGGAAGGAGAAAGGAAGGAGGAAGGAGGAGGTTGGTGAGGAAGAAGAAGGCGGCAGCCATAGCCAGACAAAGAGTTGACTGGCAGAGTTGACCGAAGTTGACTGGGAAGTTGACCAGCGTGGACCAAGCGTTGACCAAGACTATTGACCACGACTTTGACCAAGCTGGAGCCGGTATAATCTCGCCAAGCCTTCAGCCTATCCCCTCGCCCTATGGATGTGCACACTCCCTGTGGTACTTTCTGAGTCAAGTCAGTCTGTCTCTTCTTTCTGCATCGAGTCTCTTCTGTCCAGGTGATAGGACTCTGTGGATGAAGGATAGGGCCTTGTTGACCAAACCCACACGGGCTGAGTAGGGCTAAAGACTGTGCCTGACGGCTCGACAGTCCCGGAGGACACGAACCCTCCCAAGGACCGGTACTGACCGGCGGCCTGCTCGGTGTGGCACGGTAGGCCCAAAATCCGAGCTGTGGGCTGCACAACAGGCTGTCTAAGTCTTGAGAGGACTTGCTGATTGCGTCGTCCTGTTTGCGACGTTAAATAATTCCTGAGGAGTTACGAGGGATCTCCTTAAATGCCTCCTGATCAGCAGAGAGTCCTGTAGTGACAGCCTTAGAGTAGGTCTAGGCTAGCGACCCTAGTTGACAGGATCCTGTCCGGATTCTGTGGTCCATAGATTGAGTCAGTAGGTTGTGTCAGTCAGGGGGTAGAAGTCTAAGTGGTGCGGAGTGGAACTAATATCTAGTTGTGCACCTGACACCATGGTGGACACCCGTAGTGGGAAGAGTACTACCCCTTACACCCAGGCTCAAGAGGAGCAATTCGCCGCCATTTTAAAGGAGAGAAAAGAGAAGAAGGAGCTCCTCAAGCAGGCGAAGTTAAAGGTAATCGCAGAGGAGCAGGCGGCGAAGAAAAAGAAGTTGGAGGAGATGATGAGGGTACAGAAGGAGGAGGAAGAGAAAAGGAGAGCTGTCGAAGAAGAACCAACAGAGGAGGAGGAAGCATTGGAAGGACTCCTCACAAGGCGTACAGGAGAAAGAGGAGAAAGCAGTGGCACAAAGGAGGAAGATAAGTGGATGGAGAAGAAGATATCCGAATGGGTGGTTAATTTATCACTGGGAGAAGATGAAGAGGCAATGTTATATGTGCCTCAGGAGGAGAAAGAAGCGGTAGCCAAGGAGCTGGAGGCTATGGAGGATCCCCTGGACCGCTAGACGCTAGAGGATGAAAAGAGAGTGGAGTGGAAATTGCATTTGGCGAGGGAGAAGAAGAGGAGGGAGGAGGCCAACCGAATGGCCAAGGAAGTGGAAAGGGTACAGTCGTGTAAGCAAGAAGTGCAAGCGCAACAGGATATTCCGGCCAAATTAGACAAGATTTTGAGTTATCTAGAGATTTTGGGACAGACCTGGACTGAGCAATACCAAGCTAATAAGGGCCAAGAGGTGACCCTCCATTCCATCCAGACGGGGTTAGGGAGTTTGCACGCGACGTGGTGACCCACGTCGGGACCGAAATTAAGAGACTAAAGGAAGGCGGATATAAGTTCTGTGCAGGCGCCAAGGTAGTGGCCACGGCAGAGGCCGAAGCGCGCCCGTGCAAAGAGCCTGTCAAGCTCAAGTTTCCTGACTCTTATAGCGGGAAACGATAACTTTGATAATAGGGAGGCAAGCATCAACACGTATGTGTATTTACAGCATATCGCGCCAGAGGAACAAATCCTCGTGGCCTTCCATGCGCTGAAGGATGAAGCGGCCAGCTTTGCCAGGTCCCTTGCAGGCGCGCAGCCGATTGTGAGCACAATATGGTTGCATACTCTAAGCTCACCCCTCTTCCTACATTCCTCAAACTCCTGCGGGAGAGGTTCGCTGACGTCACAAGGGGCGTCAAGGCCTCCGATAAGCTGCAAACAATCCAGTCCAGGCAGTAGAAGAGTGCAAGAGCACTCAAGGCAGTGATGGATGACCTTGTAGCCATCCCAGACCACGGAGTCACGGAGACCCATTTGGGTAACTTATTTTACCGTGCCATGCCAGAGCCCCTGCGAGGGCATTTCTTTGACAAGACCCAACAGGCCAATATTACGTATGATGCGCTAAGTAGAGAAGTGGTCCTATTCGAGGCGAAGTCCATGCCTCTTTCCACTTTCTGGCATAAGGACTGCGAAGAAGAAAATAACACCCCTGGTTGACCACGTGTGCGGAGGTGACCCTGCCCATATTATCAAATATTGTCCTAAGTATAGGGAAGCCCGATTTGCTGCCCAAGGGTCTGACCACGTGTGTCAAAAGGCAGCCGGCAGTAGGGGTCGCAACTGCCCCTACCACTAGGCCATGTGGCGAAGTGTGTGTGCACCACCAGGAAACTCCCACACCAGCCTGGGCCAAAATGAAGAAGGAAAGTAAGGGACAACTAGTGTTAGTAGATGTAGAAGTTTTTAGAAGCAGAGTAGGAGCCCTTATAGACTCAGGGGCTACTCGCAGTTATGTTAGCCGTAGGGCGCTGAAGAAGCTAAGGCTAGGGTTAAAAGTCCAGAAGTTAACAAACCCCATAATCAGTGTCCTCGCAGACAACCGCAAGATGCGYGTTGAGGACTACGTAGAGGGAGTCCAGGCGTATTTCCGCCTAGAGAAAGATGGGAAGGTGGAGAAGGTTCTCCATTCCCTGACTCTCCTCGTACAGGATGACCTCCCTTTTGACATAGTCCTAGGTATGGACTGGGGAGAGGCAGCAAGGGCCACACTCCATTTGAGAGAGCATGAGTGCAGGCTTCCTAGTCCGTCAGGTGAGGTTAAGACGGCCCGTTTGTTTCACGTGTTAGGAGTAGATAAGTCTCTCGCACATTGTTGTCTCAGTGCTCCCGTGTTCGCGCGATTAGTTAGAAAGGAACAGTTAGAGGAGCAGGTCTTCGTAGCTTATGTAAGGCCTGACACTGAGCCTAAAAAAAACATACCCATGGATCCAACTATCACCAAGCTG